TGCCCTTGAGCCCTTGGATCCTTTCCCCTTCGGAGGATAGGGGCGTTGGGATTGGGCTGAGCTGGATGGACTGGGGTCTGCTAGGGCCACAACTGGATAGTAGCCACGGTTGGTCTTGAGCTCTGCAAACCTTCGGCGGGCATCAAGATATGATGCGTACGCCTCTTCCCACTCGGGGTCGTCAACGTCAGGCATCGTCCTCCTGATGGAGAACGCCCTCCTGCTCTTCCTCCTCATAGTTGACCTCTTCAGGATCCTCAGGCCAATCACCAAAGTAGGCGTCAGCCTCATCACCTTCATAAAATTCATCGTTGGCGGCGTATGCCGCTTGGGAGCCCTTCTTCTGCCACTTGTAGGCATTCTTTCCAGCTGAGCGAGGAGCATTGTAGGGCTTGCCACGATGGTCATAGGTGGAGCGGCCACGAAAATCTTGGCCAAACAAAAAGTACATAGCCTCTTCAAGTTTTGTTTCCTCCAATGTTGCTCCACACTGTGATTGTACCAATTGCTTCTGCTCCTGAGACAACCCACGCCTGCGTAGGAGGAGCCAACCAGTCACTTCCGCCGGCAGGGAGATGCTGTGTTTCTGGACCTCCCGCAGTGCTTCACGATGGTCAGCGCAGTACGACATCAATGTCTGATCCGGCCTTCTTGAGAGGCTATAGAAAAACTTCTCGAAGGCCCTTGGTTGCTCAACACGGTCATCGTAGTTGAACGTCCGGTCCAAAACTGCTATCAACTTTGAGAAACCGTCCTTGTCCTCACTCAAAGCGTCAGCTTGGGGTTCCAACTGCTTCCATGCTGTACCGGTCATGGTGGTGAGGATGTTGATGATTCCTTCAACAGGTTTCTTCTGCAGTTGCATCTTCTTGTAGTACAAGTGGATGCGAGCCCTCCACTCTCTGTAGTCCTGAGGCCGATTGCTAAAGGTCGGCGCCCATGAATCCTTTGTGGTGTCACCAGCTGTGCTCGAAGCTGAAGCCATCTGCACAACGTGTAGCAACGCTCAATGTACGACGATCAACGGTCAAGGTGCAATGTCCAATGCTCAATGTCAACTTGCTCAATGAACAACGGTCAACAACCAGGATGCAAAATCCAATGTTCAATGTCAACTTGCTCAATGTACAATGTATGACAGGCGAAGGCCAATGCACGGGTTGCAAGAGCAATGTACCAATGTGCAACTTCTACCAAGTCACAAATCAACAACCAACTGTCAACTGGCAGCACGGTAGGGAGTCCCTGGTCGGGGCTCCGCTACCAATTTGAAGGTAGCAACAACTGCAACCAATCCAAGAAACAACCTCACGAAGTGCTGTCTCGCGAAATCCGGTTTGGTGCGGTCTTTTCACACCAACGTAGGCGTGGCATCAAGGTGCGAACGCTGCCCTCCCATCTTAGGAGGTCGAAGGTGGAAACACGGAGCCACGTGCCAGCGGTCGTTCGAGAGCATTCCTCAGTCCAGCAACCTTAGGTTCAGCATGTCATGGAGTGACATTGACAATGTGTATATATATATATATATACAATTTTGATCTTGGATTTCTGAAGCCTGAATCATTGGGAAACACTCTCAAGTCAACGGTGCTTGGAGTGAAACCTAGGTTAGACTCTTCAACAAGTAGATGGGACACAGGCAAGTAGTTAGTTAACTTAGTAAGGTTAATCATGCCGTTTCATACAATGTCTTACATATGAGGTTCTCGACTCGAGGTTTTGAGGTTTCGCGAGTGACGCCTGGAGACCCGGAAGAGTTGATTGGGCTTTGCATGGCAGCAACCAAAATGATCGACACCCCGTGAGGCTGTGCGGCCCCACAGCCATACCAAGCACAAGAGATGGAAAGCTGAAACCGGCTGATGAGGCGTGGCTCTATACTTGACATATATTACAGAAGCACGAGTGACTCTGGGTGGCATGCTTGCACTGGTTCCCTACCCCGCAAAAGAACTAGGAACAGTTGGATTTGTTGAGTAGTTTGAGATTTCTACTTGCAGGCGTTATATAAGGCTGTGGAGTCACACCTTTGCTTTCTCACAGTAGCGGCCATTTCAAGTGGTCAACATCTCCCAGGCAGTTGCGCCGGCCAACTTCATGCAGCTTCACCAACCTGCAGTGTCTCGAAGAGGTCGCACTGTGCTGGACAAGCTGGTGCCGGATACGCCGACGCAGGACACGCAGAGGCCGAGACAATTATGGCATTTGTATGCTTTTGTGCTAACCTAAAAGCGATGGCCTCCACCCTAGTAGTGATGGCGTCCACCCCAGTAGCGATGGCCTCCAATGCTTTTGTGGTATTCCACAGCATCCACAACGTGGATTTTGACAAATTTCATTTTTGCGGCACAGGCGCCGAGATGCATCGCCCACTGGCATTCAGCACTTGCGAGAGCACTTCTTGAGAGACAATGGTGTCTACGGTGGTGCATGTCGTGTTGGAAGCTCAGTGACATGCTCTTCACAACATTGATCCCAGGTCCCAATGTTGCCAAAGTCATTGCCCTTTTGTGCGATGAAACCGCTCATGGTCAGTTGAGAAAGGTAGCAAGGAGGTGACAGCAGCAATTGGTTCTTGTGCTTACAAGCCTGACAGGGTGGTTTTGTCAGCATGGTTCTGGATGGTCTCTCCCCTCCCGGACTCGTATTATTGTCGCGCTGGTGAAGCTCTAGTTCTGCCTGGGATGCATTCCTGAGTCCCTGCAGGTCCCTGCAATAAACTGATGAACATGCCTACAACATCATACAAGACATGTATATAAGTCCTAGATCCCAGTGGCTGCAGTGGAACACACACACACAGACACACCCCCACGTGCACGCACACGCACACGCACACGCACACACACATCCACACGCAGACAGAAGCACCAAAAACACATCCATACAGACTATTCAAGACAAGTACGTCAATGTTAAAGTTTTTTGGATGAAAAGTACGTCACTTGGCACTCTAACTGTCTCCATCCACAGAGGTACGCAACCGCCGCTGCAGCTTTGTGGAAGTGTCGGAGGTGCAGGCGCAGCCGGCGCAGCGGGCGCAGCCGCAGCTTCGGATTGTGAAACGGTGAAACTTCAGTGGAGAATGCTATTGGTGAAACAGTGGAGAACACCTTGACATACCTTGACTAGGAAAGGAGCTTTGATTGATTGATATGACATGCACATAGCAAACTGTGGCATGGATTAACTGTGCATTTTTTGTCATTTCTTTTTTGCCAAGGGTTTACAGTTTAGTTTTAGCTTCCATTTTCCCGTTTGATTGGGATGTCGCGAGGTTGGCGAAAAGCGCTTCAAGTTGGAAACGCATGTCTCCCGCACTGTGCACAGCAGCATCTCGGACCGAGCATCGTTTCGATTCGAACGGGACCGTCACTGACTGGACCGAGGTATCCAGCGAAAACCATCACCCAAACCGTGGCCATGCAAACGCTTGTGGCAGTGCCCTTCCTGCAGTGGGTGAACCCGGAAGAGGAATGAATGGAATGAGGTTCTATGGAATTGGGATTTGGTGGCGATGAGGAATGAGGGTTGTCAACCTGTAGCATTCTGTAGCTAGCTAAAACTGCACCTGATGCCAAGGAGAGAGCGCCTTCGAGACCGTCGGGAACGCTGCCGCTGCAGTTGAGGCTTCGAATCTTGTCTGGAAAACAGGCTTCGAATCTTGTCTGGAAAACCATGAGAAGTACCGTCTCAAGATTGCAATCTGCAATGTTCTTGGAGATCGGACGCAGTACCCCATTGTGATTTTTCGATTCTAGTTTTAGAGTTTAAACGGCCCCCAGTGGCGGGCTGATTGCCAGTCTTTGACCATGAGAGACGAGAACCGAGAACCCCTGTTTTGGCTGGTTTACCCTTCAAAATGAAGGCAGCGAAGCAACAGTATTTGAAGCCCTTGAGTGCTTCAAACTCCTTAAACGTTGTGTAGTTGCACAGGAACCTCTTGCGCAAGCGTCCAAGATGACTGGCTGCACCACTTGCTGTATAAACAAAAATATACATTTTTGGCATGCGGACTCTGTTGGCAAAGAAAAGAGCTCAAGGGAGCACCCCTTCCAATTCATTGATGCCTTGAGCACTTCAACCTTGACCGCCCCAGTGACATGGCCGCCCAACAAGAGAAGATTTGTTTGTTTTTCAGCAAGTTGCCTCGCACTCTAAAAACTACTACATGAAGCGAGCCCATCAAGTTAAACCTCATGTTCATTCGGGGCATGTCTCACACTTGCACCTGGAAATCTAGCATAGAGATTTGTGTGATTTGGACAGATTTATGTCACTATGTACCTCGAGAAGAGGTATATAGGAGTTATTGAAGATAGCAGCTCTAAAATCATTCTCAGCGCAGCCAACCATTGAGACACAGCGCCTTGTACAGTTTGTACAGTTGATCCGCCGTTGGCATTAAAAAAGAAGCCCGAAGCCCTCAAAATTTCTATAATTTGCAGTTATTTGCAGTGAGAATGTGAGCACTTTGCACTGATTGAAAGGCCAAACCCCCAAAACCAATGGCCCTATATAGAACAAGGGTGGACAAGTTTTGGTCTAAAACGTTTTAAGGACGGATACCGGGCCCATCATACATAGTATCCCTCATTGTCCGAAACGCCTGGAAGATTCTCTTTTGATTTGGAGTAGACCGCGCATTTCGGGACTTCTAGACTGGGCAGGGAGTGTCTTTGACCTGTTGAAGAAGTGGCTGTCTTTTTGCCTTGTCGCAAATGTCCTCACGTCCATCCGTTTTTGGGTTCGAAATGTACTGTAGTCCTATGTAGTGCTTGCGGCGTCCTTCTGTTGAGGATACATACACCTACTGAGTGTCAAAGAAAGTGAGACCAGATTGTTCGGTGATTGAGAACCTCCCGAGAAGAACAACAAATTTTGCGGTAGTCCGGTCTCATTTCTGCAGTAAGCGGCTGAACTGGAAGTTTTCGGCTCACCGTATGTTTTCTTCGTCGAGTCAACAGATTGGGGTGAAAGACGCCGTAGAGAATCGCCAGGGCTTCGACCATCACTGTCGCTATTTGAATGTGTGCGTGGGGGGAAGGAGCACGGGGTACAGAAGCTTTGTTGCTGAACACATTCTTCATGGTCTCGCTGCAAGTGTCAGCGCTGCCGTCCATACCTGCATGCATACGTAGCCAAGATCGCTCCATGCCTCTTCAATCTTAGCAACCAACCTTGGCTAGACCTGACTGAGTGGCTTGAATGTCCTCAATCTTTCTGGTGCATCGTCAGATTGAATTGCATTCAGCCTGGAATCCAGCCTAGCCAGTATTCCACATCCCGCCTCCAGGACGTACCCAGCCTGGTACACCTTTGTGGCTCGGGAGCCAAGATGGAGTTTCACAGTGAACAACTTGCGGGCCCTTTTCGACTGATCTGAACTCTAGAGAAGGCCAAGTGCGAATCTTGAACGTCTCCCTGAGCAGAGCGAAGATGAGCGAATCAGAGTAGGACCTTCATGGACTGGTTGTTTTCGTTTTTTGATTTCTCATGGTGGTTCTGTGCCTAGTTGCTGCTCTTTCTGCTGGTGGTGATGTGCGCCGTGGGCTGCGTTCAAGTGCTGAACGAGCCCTTCAGGTGCGGTGGTAGCACAAGAGTTGCAGTTCAAGTAGGAGTTCTAAAGTATGCTTTGGAGCCTCCTACCGACGGCATATTGTCATATATTATCCTCCACCAACTTCGGTTACCTTGCACCAAATCTCTTCTTACCAAGCTCTGCAAATGGCGCTTGAGCTGCTCCGTACACGTAGAAAGACGACAACGATCACGCCTTGCATACAGGCACAATCTCCATGAGGAGTACCCGACAGTGTTTGGGTCTCAGAGCAGATGCTGTCTTTCTGTTTTATGGTATGCCAAGCCAGAATCTGTCTTGCTTAACCTTGTCCTTTAAGTGAAGGTACAGAAGGATATTCTCTAGGTGATTCTAAGTGCCACATTTGACCTGGCAATTAAGCAAGTGCCCAAACCACATTACCAGGGTCAATATGGATCGTCCTCACTCTATGATGCTGAGTCCTGAGTCAGCATAGCTTCCAAGTCCTGAGGTTTTATGTCCTTCTCGGGACAGCAGCCGTGGTGGCATCCTGAGGGAAGCCATGCATTGCGTACTCAAATGATATGCATCAGAAGTGTTTTTTTGTGGCTTGAAGGCTTGAAGCGAAGGAATCTGATTTCTCTCGGTATCCACATGCATGAGTATATATTGAACAATGAAAGAACAATGAAACAATACTGTAGATTCTTGATAAATAAAGCCTCCAATCAAGAGTCTACAGTATTGCCAAGCAGCGGTTTGTGCTCCAAGGCTTCGGTCATCGAAAGCCTTTTCCTTCTCGCCCTTCTGGTGCACCCGCTACCGATTGCCGGTCGCTCCATCACTAGTGCTGTTGGATGAGGAATGGGGAGCTAAGGGTATGAGTAACGGGATGTAAAGGGTTTTTCATTGCGATTCATATCAGGCCTCACTTCATTGCCCGGGAAATAGCTTGTTATTCCGTGCATACTGCTGTAAGTATCCTTCCCACACACACACACACACGATAGACGGAAAGCCAATTTTGGTTGCTGTGCGAGTACCCCGCTGCTGAAGATGGACCTTCACCTATCGTCGGGTGTTGCAACAGATCAGCCTCATTGCCAAACCTTGCAACACTCGGGCAAACATAGATTGGCAATGATTGGCCGAACGCTACAAACTGCTGCAGGGTTTGGATCCTGCAAAACGTTTCGAGGCGCAGCACTCTTACTTCTGCCTTGCAGGCTGGGCACCACATTCAGCAAACAATACAAAATATCAAGCAACACCTTGAGGGAAGGGGTGCAGGCACACGTTTCACCCTGCTTGACTAACTTCAGAATATAGAACATCGTTACAAGTCCTAAGTCAGTTTCTTCTATTCCGCCACCCCAAAGCTGGGTGTCGTCTGAAAGACTGGTGACAGGGGTGGCAATCCATGAATCATTCACGCAACAACACCTGGGAAGGTACACTCACCAACTTAGCAAGACATCCAATAAGGATTGGCTTTTGTCCTTTTCGGTTTTGGATTGCTTCAGGAATAACCACCTTGGAGTACATCAAGGACCAGGCTCCAAATCTGTGCGTTGCCTGGAAAGATGTCACAAAGGATGACTCATGCAAGAAGGGAGAGACACAATTTGCCAACATTGCAAGTTTGGCAAGATGGCATTGCAATTTTTACCTCTCCAAGCGGCTCATGGATGCGCGAGGAAGCCTAAAGGTTTCTCTCATAAAGGGCTGGGCAGTAGAATGTTTAAAGGGGTAGACCCTTGAGGGACTTTCTTCTGGCACATTTGTTGCAATGGTCATGCGGGACAATGCTGTCCAATACAAGTAGATCGTGAGAAGTTTCAAGTTCTCAACGGGCCCTGAGCAAGGTGACCCCTGATTGTTTTGTTGGAAGCTAAGCTCTCAAAGAGGTGTCTCGATTTCAAGACCCTCGCTTTGCAAGAGCTTGCACCTAAACTAGGACATGACATGCCTGCTACTGATACTTAGGCGCGCCTAGTTTGCTCAGTACCTGGGAATCCAATGTTGTTTGTGGCCAGGGTGACAAAAGCCACGCCGATGCATGATGAAAGCAGACCTGAAAGAAGAGAGATTCGGTGTGTGATTCGTCTTCAAGCCGCAGGCTCCACCATTTCCAAGCCTTCCGCCACGAGGTTGGCGAGAGGTGTGGACACCGAATCTCCCAGCTCACAACATGTTGGGAAAGATGTTGTGGCCTGGCTGTTTGCTGAGTGTGAACCTGTCCGGGTGCTAAGTAGGCCTCCAGCCATCCTTACTACCTGTGCAGCTCATGAAGGTTTAATGAAGCTTAAGTGTTGTCGTCGTTCTTTGACACCCATGCATCCACTGTTGGCCAGGCTGAGCGTTACACCTACTGTTCGACGCCGTATTTCAATCAGACGTGATGTGCAGTCTTGAAAGCTTGTCCGAGCGAGGCCATTTCACAGGGTGAGTGTCACAACTGCCACGGTTTGATTCAGCCGCTCGGCCTGAAACAGGCTTCGTATTTTTGACGTAGTGTCGGAACACGCTTCGTATCTTTGACGTAGTGTGAGTTTTGGACACCAGTATACACCAGTATAGTAGAGTCTTCGAATCAACAAACAATATGTTGCCGGAAGTTTGGAAGAGCCACATGAAAAACATGGTTGTCCGGGCGCTCCATTTACTGCAACGACGTACGTAGTTTTGCAACAGGTGCCATTGTTATGTTGCAATGCCTCGTTGTGAGCTATAGGCAAGTAGCGGCAAGTATCAAGAAGTAGCATGAGCGTGATTGGGAAGGACAAGTGTTTACGCGTAGTAAAGCTATCTCCCAATCGAAAGCGATGTTTTATGCGTCGCTGACGTGTAGAAAGCGGACGACTTTGATCAATGGACAGCTCTTTTTTAAGGCTTTCCGAAGCTGCTGATGCCGACGAAGTGCCGTTGAACCAAGCTTGGCCACGGGAGAAGAACGATGAGAAGAAAAGAACACGCCAAGAAGAACCCAATGTGCTTTAAGGAACCTAATAGCAGTGGCCTCCAACCTAGAAGCGATGGCCTCCAATGAAATCGTTGTCATAGTGGTTCTGTTACGTATGGTGTTTGATATGGACACTCATAGGTTTCTACTGTAAGAGGCTATATAATCTCAGTCAATTGTGTAGGATGGCTCAACGACGGTTATCAACTTGAGCAGTGCTTTAAAAGCCAGGTACTGTACTGCAGCGTTTGCCAAGGAGACCTTGCCAAGGCGGTCAATTCTTCACTCCAATATCACTCGCTGTCGGGTTGGTATTTGGCAGAACACGTGGAGCTGCAGCTGTCGGACCGCTCTCTGCCTGAGCCAATTGAACTTAGGGAAATGCGCAGAAATCCAAAGAATCTGCAACAGGCTCAAGAACCAGATTCAGAGAATTGCGTAAAGTACTGAAGCTCAAAACATTCCTTTGGCATTTACATATATTTACAACCTTTCATGCTTATGAGGTCATGTCCAAGGAGACTTTCGATTACTTTCGAGGTTGGCAGGAACTCGATGCTACCCTTGGTGCTCATAGTCTCAAGGTGTGATTGGGCCTTTCCGCCCCCTTCCCGAACCTTGCCATTGAAGAACCTAATACTCGTAGCGTGTCAAGAGTGGAGCAGGTCCCAGAAATTCTCAGGAATACAGAATGCAGATGCAAGGAGACTCCACCGAAGATATAGCTGCTCACTTGTGGTGAACTGGAGATGATTGTTCAAACATATTCGCATGACTTTACCTTGGCAGCCTTGGCACCAAACTTCCAATCAGCTCCTTCAACCTTCCATCTCCGAGTTCGGAAGTGAGCATATGTGAGCCAAGTCGATTCGAGCTGCGTTCCTGCAAGGCTGCGGTGAACTTTTGGCAGTGTGATGTCTGCGACAACTCTGCGGCGCCTTGGTGAACTTATACATTGCTTACGGATGCTGACGGTGTGTTTTTCATGTCTGGGCAAGTTTCCGGATCAACATTTCTTTGGTCTTTGGCTGGTGGAATTGGCATACAGCTTCGTGCTGATGCGTTCTTCTAGTAAATCATCCTATGAAAACACGGAAGTGGAAACTCGTGTTGTATCGCGACCGCACGAAGTGTCGGGATGGAAAGCGTGAAAAACAGTGAGGCGTGTCTTTTGCCTATGGCGTAGCATGAACGAGGTTCAAGGGGCCCCTGCATGGGCGCAGGGTAGCCAAACAGCAACCGGAACGGTCAAAAGCTGTTCCAACCTGATTGCATGGAGTGAAATCCACACCGGTGGTGGTTCTCCACTTCAGTAGCTTCGCCAGAACTCAAGAGACTTCTGGCTACAGAAGGCGCAGCAGTTCCACTGCTTCAACTGAGTCGCGTCGGCTGATGCCAGCGCTTGGCAGTCAGGGTGAGTGTGGTAGGACTTGCCGGTTCGGGTCGTGATGACCGCATCAGGGATCCAGTTTCTGGAGAGCTGGTCACGGACCGCAGCTAAGCGGTTGTGCGCATCGATCCAGTTGTCGCGGGCCTTCTTGTACTCGGTGTCAATCTCGCGCATCTCGATCCTCATGTACTCTCGGATGTCGATGAGCTGTTCAATCTCTTCTTCTTGTGCTCTGCATTGGGCTTGTAGGTCAAATAGTTCAGCTTCTTGGTCTCTCACGATGTCTTGCAGCCGCAAGTTCTCGGTGCGGAGGACATCAAAGGAGGTCTCAGGCTCCTTCTCGGTCTGTGTCTCGGCCGCTGTAGAGCTCGTCCAGGTCGTTCTTGTAACCGTGGAGCTCCATGATGAAGTTCCCTTGTTGTCACAAAGGAAGCGCCACAGCAGCATGCCAATCACAATGACATACAGGGTCACGGTCATCTCGGGTGACAGCATAGTTGCTATGACCTCATCCACCGTCATGGCCTTGACTCCAATCATCTGCGAGGTGAGGACTGCAAAGGCCAAGTGGTTGGGGTTGCCAGTCCGAGTGATGGCATGACGTCTTGCGCTTGCCTGTCGCTCTGCCAGGGTCTTCTTCTTGGATGCCTGAAAGGAGACATCAGCTTGTAGTGAAAGGTGATGAGAACGAAGACGATCGGCAAAGAGCTGTCTGGCGGCATACTTGGTGACTCCATCGGCCATTTGAGCCTCAGATGAGACCCATTTCAGCCGGGACTTCATTGCCAGCGTCTTTTGCTTGGTCACCATGACTTCAATCTTTGTTCTTTTGTCGCCTTGTAGGCTGGGAGTTTCAGCCTTGAGCGAGTCGTAGAGCGCCTTAGCGTCGACCACCAGTGACGAGGGCATAAACTCGTCCACCTGTCGAAGTTGAAAGTTGTGTCGGGTGCAGCCCTCCCAGAAGATCAACAGGTACTCCAGGGCGTCCATGGCGGCCGAACATGCCTGGCTCTCAGCATGAGTGATGAACGACTCACTCTTGGCAATTTGAAGCTTCTCCAGTCCAGGACGATGTAGTCCTGTGTGGAGCCGTCTTCCAGGATCTGCTGGTTGCAGAGGAAGATCACATAGCCACCCTGGGATTCGCTGTTACGACGAACTCCCCAGGCTGCATCGCTCATGGCCACCATACATAGCTTCTCCATGTCCCCTCCAAGATCTCGAAAGATCAGGGCAGCGTCACTGTTGTTCGTGGCAAAACGGAGGAGCTTGTTGGCTTGAGCTGCAGTGTCACCTGTGGCGGCTGTGACCTCGCCGCACAATAAAGATACCGAAGCGCTCAAATGAGGTGAGGTCTGAGTGGCAGGCCATTGAAGTGCTCCGAGAAGGGCTCTGAGGCAACTTTGTTCCTTGTTGTTGAGGGAACGGTTGGCATCGTAATCATTGCATGTCATGGGCTTGACCTTCTTAAAGTAGTCGCTCTGGTGCAACTTGGACTCAGTGTTATCTCGGCTCAGGTGGCAGCCGCAGAACTCCAAAGGTGCGTCTCCCTCTTCGGTCCGGTGCTTGAAGTTGAAGGCTTCCTTCAGCTTGGACTTGAGGTGCTCGTATTCAGAAGAGCCGGTTTTACCACAGCCCAAAAGGTCGTCGACGTGGAGTCCCACCATGGAGATCAGGTTCTTATCGGAGTCGTGATAGGTGAAGAGGCACTGATCCAGTGGGTAAGCTCGGTATCCAAGGCTTTCAAGTCGCCTTCTGGCCACGATGAACCATTGCCTTGGGGCGTCGGCTTGACCGTAGATGGGCTTGATCAGCCTCATCAATGTTCCAGCAGGAACACCGATGATGTTGCAGGCGTCTCGTGGAATGCGAGCCCAAAGAACACATTCTTGAGGATCACCTTGGAGGAATGCCGTACTGACGTCGGCTGTCCAGCGTCTCCAGCCAGAAACTTGGCTGATAGCCAGCAATACTTGTCGGGAGGTCCTTGCCAAAGTCGGCGATGAAGTGTCCAGAGCGCCATTCAGCAAGTCGGGGTCAGAAAACCCTTGCAAAACCAAGCAGGCCTTGGCCTTGAGGCCGCCCTTGCCATCAGCTGCCCATTTCAAAACAAAGCGAGCTTTCATCACTCTGTTGTGGTCGACAGAGGCGGGGTCCGTCTCGATCTCCCAAACTCCATTTTCAAAGATGCTTGAGATCTCTGCTTTCTTGCCCTCCAGGAAGGTCAGGCGGTCCTCCAATGACATCCGGCGCTCATTGAGGTCAGCGCTCTCTTTGACATGTTTCTTGCGAGGAGCGCTCGTGCCAACTGCTTGCCAAATGTGGCCTCGGCCACGCAAAGTCTTGCATCTGCGAAGCTTGTTGGCGAGGTCGCCGATGTAGTGAAGACCATAGTGCTCTGCACCTGCCTGTGTGAGAGGGTACAGGGTTTTGCCAGTCCATCCATCAGCAAAGTACTGCTCCTCAGTGGAGTTGACATAGATGGTGCGAGTTCCCTGCTGCATAGACAGACCGGTGGTGGTCTGCAGAAAGTCAGTAGAGACCGGAAACTCTTCAGGATGGTAGGTGCTTGTTCTGCTCCAAACGTGGTTGCGGACCAAAAAGCCGTCCTCGAAGCTCCACCAGTCCTGAGTGGCTCCCAAGACAAACTCGTTGTTCTTCTTGTCATAGGTCCAGCCTTCTGGAAGAGTGGTCTTGGAGAAGTCCATGGAGTGGAGGCCAACTTCCACTTCTGGCTCGTCAGTGCGAGCTTTCTTTCTTGTCCAAATGGTTTCCTGCTGATCGAAGCGTCGTCGTCGATCTTGAAAGCTTTCAGGCGTAGCAGGAGGGATGTAGGTGGCATCCACTGGCATTGGACTTTGTGATGAAGTCGGTGGTGCTTCAGGAGGTTGATCCAAATCGTGGTCCTCAGGGACTGCAGGAAGATCAGCAGGATCACCAGGTGCCTTGGGCGTCTGCATATGTGATGGTTCGCCCATTGGTTCTTCATCTTCGTCTTCATTCTCTCCCGTTTCCAACTGTTGAGGTCCCGCTTGTTCTCGTGGTAGTTCAGGTGGATCATCAGGAACCTCTGAAGGAAGGGGATCTTGATCATGTTGATCCTCAGTTGCTTCCTGTGCAGGAGGAAGTGAATCAGGTGGCTCTCGTTGAGGCTCTTCACGTCGGAGTCGTGAAGGTGTGGGTCGAGCAGCATGCTCCGAAGCAGGCTGTTGTTGTCCATCAGGTTGTCCGGGAGAGGCCATTGTAGATGGTTGAGCTTCGGTGTCAGTGGGAGTGTACTCCAGGTCGCTTACCTCAGGGTCAACCTCATCGATGGAGCGCTTGTTGGAGCGTCGAAGGTCTACAATGCGAACTGCTCGCCGCTGTCGTAGGTCTCGTAAAGCCTGTTGAACTCGAGCTGAACCGTCAATGGTGCCAGTGTCGTTGACCAACTTGCGAACGTGCTGGGTGCTGGCACGAAGGAGAACGGTTCCATGAGCCAACCAATAGCAGGACACGGTGCCAGTGTCAGGGTTTCTCTCGATGGCCAGAACGATTGCAGGACCTTTTCAGCGAATGGTGTGTGCTCGATCAGCAGCATCTCGCCAGTACAGACATCGTTCTCCAGGATGAAGGTCTTCATCACGGCCAGTGTACCTGCGAAGGAGAGCTCGGCGCAGCTTGACATCATTTTCAGCCCTGCCACAAGCCTGCTGGGCTGAGAACTTCAAAGTGAGGCGTCTGTGAAGTCGCTCTTGCTCGGCCATCTGAAGTTGTAGTGGTCCAGTACGTTCATCAGAAAGGAGTCCGGGCATTGAAGGTTCTCGGCCTAATGCAAGCTGGGACGGAGTGAAGCCATTCACAAAGGTGTTGGAGTTGACCGAGGGAACAACCCATGATAGAGCCTGCTGAACTCCGTCAAGGCCTTTGAGTTCGTGCTCCAGCATGAAGATGGAGACTGCCTTCCGAACCAGTTGATGTCTGCGCTCAACGATGCTGGTGCGAGTGTGAGCTTGGCCAGGTGATATGCGAAGCTCAATGTCGTGCTGTTCACACCATGTAGCTGTGGAATCTGAAGCCCATCCAGTTCCCTCATCGACGTAGAGCTGTTTAGGAGGTCCATGGAACTGGATCCAGGCTCGTTCAAGGGCCTTCTGGAGAGAGATGCCCTTTTCGTCTGGGACTGTGCGAGCTGCCATGTAGCGAGTGGCAACGTCCACCATGATGAGCACCGCAATGCGCTTGGTGCGCTGCTTGCGTTGACCAGCCTCAAGGAGCATGCCAATCTCATCCATCTCCAACCACAAAACATCAGCTTGAACCTGGGTGTTGAACTTGGTGGGTCTGTCCAAATGGCCAGGTGCGTTGCCCTTCTTGACGGAGTGGATCTCGCAGTATGGACAGTGAAGGTCTTGAACTGTCGCTTGAACTGCCTCATTGCATCCTCGCTCCTTGAGCATCTTGAGAAGAACATCTTTGCGAGGATGACCAAGATTCCGGTGAAGTCGGTAGGCGGTGCGGACTGCTTCACTGCCATGAACTTTGCCGAGTTTGCGAAGGACACCAGTGAGAGCTTTGTCATCTTCATTGTGGACGGTGTAGACCTGTTCGCTAAGGCCTTCATGAAGAAGAAGTCCACGAACTAGTACGGTTGCCAGCTCAGTCTGGTAGTTCTCGGCTTTCTTGCACCTGTTCCGTCCTTCGAGGCGTTGGTGAACGTGTTGTCCATCGCACCTTTTGGACATCAGGTTAAACATTGCCCATTTTGTAGTCTGCAGTTTGGTGGTCTTCTTGATGGGCAGGAGTGAGCCGTCATCGGCTTCGGCAACTGCTCCGTAGGCACATTGGTCGAAGATCGCTTGATGTCCGGGAAGATGTCGGAGTTGAGGCGTCTCCCAAGCTAGACTCAGGTGAGGGTGCTCGATGTGGGCGTGGTCTCCTCTTCTCACCTGCTTGTAGTATAGCTTTTTGCACATAGTCAGATGGGTTCGCCGGTCCACTTCACGGCGTTCTTGAAGATCTTCAGCTTGAGCCTCATTGTGCACATTGATCTGCTGCATCCTCGACCAGAGATCTCGTCAGGCTCAAGCTCATCGCACAAGCGTAGGAGAGCTGTTCGATGTGCGGCTCTGTTGAAGTCCCATCCATCTTCCCATCCGAAGCGCATCACCTCCACATCGCCATGAGCTTGAAGGAGTTGAGTGATGCGGCCTTCTCCAGCATAGACTTCCCAGATTAGCCGCTTGCGGTGGGAAAGGCCATGTTCCCGGGCATGATGTACTTCTTGTTGAAGTGTCTTCTGATGTTCGGCCAGCTGGTGCTCAAACATGGTGAGGGTCTTTTCCAACTGTTTTGCTTGTTTCACCAGGTAGTAGGTCGGTCATGTTCTCCTGGTCGACCTCCATGTAGGTTATCTCGTCCGTTTCACCCTTTTCACATGCCTGGAAGTAGGCGTGCGCTTCAGTGGTCATCTCGAAGAAGCGCTCGTGGGCGTTGAGGTCGTCCAAGAAGTCATTCAGCTTGAGGCCATTGTTGTGGTCATCTTCGCATCGAAGGTCGAATGTCTCGGGGAAGAAGTCATCAGGACGTGTCACCCCTTCATTTACCTCTTCAGCGAGGCGAAGTAGCATTGCTCCCTGACGGCCACGTGGGATATCCCGCCAGGTCTCCTGGTCAAGCATGCGCATCCGAGAGCGGCCAAAGTCAATCTCGGCACGGAGGGCTTCAAGCAAGGGTCGGCCAAACAGCATGGGAGTGGCACCGTAGATCACATAGGCTTGGATCTTGCCGCCAACGTCAGCCAGACGTGTTGGTAGCTCGATCATCCACTTTGAATGTCCCGTAGCATCGCCACCGAAGCGAAAGGACTTGTCACACTGCTTGAAGTTCAACTTGTCCATGGGGTAGCCGAGGATTTCCAGCCACTTGAGGTAGCGCAGGATGTACTCGCTGCCAGCCAGGAACGAAGAAGCTCCTTGGTCCTGGATGCAGGCGTCAGGATCTGGCGTGAGCCAGCCACCGGCACGAACCAAAGCTTCCCCTTGGGCGTAGGCCTCTTCAGGGTCATAAAAGATCTCATTCTCATAGTCGTAGCCCTCCTCAGCATCATAGAACTCTTCAATGCTGAGGACCATGTTGACCATTGAGTCATCATCTGCAGGTCGCTTCTTTGGTGAGCTCGACTGTGCACCTGCCGTCGAACAATTTGCTGCGAAGTGGCCAGGCTTTCCGCAACGAAGGCGTACCATAGCTGAGCGAGCTCTTTGCTTGCCGCTGGGCCCTTTTCCTGACTTGGAGCCTTTTCTTTTGGAAGAGCTCTTTGACTTGCCAGGACTCTTGGATTTGCCTTTGCCGGATCCTTGGGCCATCAAAGGTGCTTGACCCTTTCCACCATCAACCACTGCCACGACGGGGTAGAAGCCACGGCTTTGTCTGAGCTGGTTGAGGCGGTTCTTGGCATCAACGTAGGTGCTGTAGATGTCATCGAACTCCTGGGTGTCAAACATGGAGTCCAGCTCTTCTTGAGCTTCATCGTAGTAGAAGGTGTCATCGGGCTCTGGGTCATCCCATTCCCCCATGGTCTCCTGGAACTCGTCGGGGTCAATGGCATCCTGGAAGTAGGTCTCTTCATTCTCATAGTTCTCATCCAACTCATAGTCCTCCTCCCAGAAGACTTGGCTCTGCCTCTTCCATCGGCCGGGGAGCTGTGGCTTCCTCAGGTGTGCAGGAAGGTGAACATGGCGATGATCTTGGCCGAGGATCAGGTAGAGAGCCTGCTCGACAGCTGGGAGCGTGAGGGTCGAGCCAATGTTGGTCTGGATGAGCTGCTCTTGTTCCTTGGTCAGTCCGGCTCTTTTCAACATCATCCAGCCGGTGATCTCCTCAGGAAGATCGACTTTGTGCTTTGAGACCTGCCTGAGGGTCTGGTGGAACTCGGTGGTGTACTCCAGGATCGACTGGTCCTTCTTGCGCCGCAGTTTGAAGAAGAACTGCTCGAAGTGGGTCGGCATTTCGACCTTGGCGTCATACGCCCATTGGCGGTCCAGGCACTTGAGAAGGATGTCGAGGCCAGATTCTTTCTCCAGCTCATGGAGATCCAAATCTTCACACTGGGTCCAGGATGGACCTTCAAGGACTGAGAGGACGTTGAGGGCGATTTCGCTCTTCCGCCCTTGAAGCTCAAGCTTCCGGGCGTACAAGGTCACTCGCCTCCGCCATTCAGCATAGGTCGTGTGAGGAGGCTCCGCTACCAATATGAAAACACGGAAGTGGAAACTCGTGTTGTATCGCGACCGCACGAAGTGTCGGGATGGAAAGCGTGAAAACCAGTGAGGCGTGTCTTTTGCCTATGGCGTAGCATGAACGAGGTTCAAGGGGCCCCTGCATGGGCGCAGGGTAGCCAAACAGCAACCGGAACGGTCAAAAGCTGTTCCAACCTGATTGCATGGAGTGAAATCCACACATCCACTTTTCTCCACTTGTGCTTCCAAGAATCCTGATTGATCCACCCACAAGCAATGCTCCTTCGTGGGCCAAATAAAAGTCTCGGCAGCTATTGGTCCTTGTCTCAAGTGCCCACCAAAACTGTTGAAGAGGCATGTGACACTTAGGCGGGTGTTTTTTTAAACAAAGTAATGCCAGGAGCGCCCCTAGCAGCGTCCTTGCTCCTAGTAGTAAGGCCAGGAGCCCCTAGTAGCGTCCCTGCTCCTAGTAGCGCCTGCAAACGTGTGAATCAGCAATGTTCTCAGAAATGCATTTTGGCCGTTCAAGAAGTCAAATGAGAGACGCCAGCAAGGGGATGAAATGATCCAAATGACCAAAGATTTGCAAAGGTCTATATATGAGCACCCGACAAAATCTAGTGCACACTAAAGTAGTCACAGGGTGGTCTTGGGGTATTGGAAACCTGCGATGGGGGCCGACCCGTTTACCCAGGCCCTTTTGATGTACCAACATGTGCCAATCACTTTAGGAAGCACGCTGCCATTTTACATTTGCAGCCGGCGCAAACACTTGGTATGTTGCTCTTCTCAGTTTGAGATTGAGTTGCTTTTAGGCAGTATAAAAGACGTGTTGCAAATTTCCAACCACTGAATTAGCTTTCTCACCGCAGAGCCTTACCGATGCCCCAACCGATGCTGACCGATGCCCACTTTGAACATGTTTGTGTCCATGGAAGAGCAGCTACCCCCACAACTTGTACAACCACTACTGCAGTTGAACCCAACAAAGATTGAAACGCAGCCAACCTTACAAACCTGCAGAACCGATGGGGTCAGACCCATTCTAGGCAAGTAAGAGATTTTGTCCGGCAGACATACTGTATATAAAGAATTCTATGCCCAGCTGACTGAATCTCAGAGTTTTTGGCTGTTGAACCTCTTTTGGTGATTTCCCTCTTCCAGCGAAGGTGTGTCCCATTTGCTACCGTGCTGCTACTTCATCTGCGTCGCTTGGCACTGATGGGAAGTGGGAGACGCATGCGGCTTTCTCAAAGGCAAGCACACAAGCAAGACAGAGGACTTGATTGAAACAATCGAAGACCCAATCGAAACTTCAGGCCCAGACCCATTCTTGGGCCGCGGCCACTTGTTGACAGTTGGTCACAGTATTGGTTCTTATGTTCTCAGCTTGCTGACCACAAATGACGAATGCGCTTTCTTCAGACGAATGGCGATAAGTGGATGGTAATTTGATGCCATGTATTGAACCACACTGCTGGATGGCTGCCATTCATCGAAGCTATGCAGGGCCCTTAAGAGATCTCCGAAGTATGCCTTCAGGAGGATTCTTGAAGAAACTGGCCGTTGGAGGTGAGCTTTTGGCTCAAGCTCGCACCTCGAAGCCTTGTAGACTCAGCATTTAAGGATGAAGCTCTTCTCAGCTGCACTATTGACACTGGCGACAGGACAGGCAGACTGGTGTCGCTGGGTGCCATTGGCCTCTCAGCAATATGTCCCGCAATGCTCTGGCTATGTGTACCCTTTTGGCACCTATGGCCATCCTGTTTGTGCAAGTTGGTGCCAATGGGTTCCCGGTCCATCTTGGGTTTACACGCCAGAATGTCGTGGCTGCTACAGCTTCGTCACAACAAGCCAGAAGTCTGCTAGCGTGTCGCTGGTGCAACGTGCATGCAAGAAATCCTGCCAATGGCTATCAAGACCTGCTTGGGAGGGGACACACGACTGCAAGACTTGCGAGCAGCCACTGGAGCAATTCGTGATTCCAGTGGTATTCACTGAGAAACTCTCAGAGCCAGGATTGAAGGTGAAGGTGAAGGTGCAGTTACCAGATTGGTGCCAGTGGGTTCCCTTGAGCTCTCTGCAGTATGTGGCAGAGTGCGGATCAAGTGCTCGCCCTGCAGGTGCCGCAGGCCCTGCAGATCCTGCAGACCCTGCAGCACCCTCTGTCACCGAAAGGTGTGCAAGTTGGTGCAGCTGGACCTCGGCCTCGTCTTGGCCGGACACACCAGAATGCAAGCATTGCACACCAGACACACTGCCAAACGTAACTTATTCCACAACTGGGTGTGTAGAATGGTGCCAGTGGGTGTCGCGCCCTGCGTGGCACAGGACACCTGACTGTGCTGGCTGCGAAAGTCCTGCACCAAATATCCAGAACATCACGCAGCCGATGTCTCATGATGCGTCTCATCTCGCAATTCCAGACCTTGTGCCATGAGCTTAGCCATGGTGACTCACCCCCCGCTCAACCGCACAGTGTGACAATTTCAGTCCTGCCAGGTGCTCTAGCTGTGCTCAGACATACAGTGTGGCAGCTTGGGTTCTGCCATGAGCCATGTACAGATTTGCCAGTAGAGCTTGGCAGCTTCTGTCCTGTAAAGTTCAAGCCCTCCAATGGTTCTTTTGTTGCCATCAAACGTGGTAATCTTCAGATGAAGTCTTCAGTTACAGGAAGCGTACGCAAAAAGAAGACACCAAGTCTCTGAGTTCGCCTCAAAAAGCTTGGGGACGGTTCCAGGGAAAAACATAAACACAGAGATCTCATGAGAACTCGATGTATAATACATATATATATATAGCTTTTCTCAAAGGGCATTGCGATTTCATTCATGGGAAGCCCCTTTGCCTTTGGAATCTCTTGAAATTCTAGAGATGAGTAGAGCTTTGCAATCCTTCGTAGGCTTTAATTGATTCTGCAGCTGGAAAAACTGAGGACCGTGACAACCTATCGGGCTTGGTGGCCTAAAGCGGCACAGACAGAGAGAGCGAGAGCGAGAGCGAGAGCAAGAGCGAGAGAGAGCGAGAGAGGGGGGGGAAGAGGGATCCTTCTAAAGATCTTGGCATAGCGAGTGCGCTGACAGCCTCGTCTCCTGAAAGCCACGAACGATGATGAGTGACAAAAGTATTTGCAAGGGTGAGAATCCTGCTGACACAAAGTCGCACAAACCAATATACTTAATTTCTTTCATGTTCTTTCTAGGATTTTGTTGAAACTGAATAAACTTGTAGGAAGCGAGTGCTGTTTGACTTCCTGATACTTTGGAGAGCTCCCCATTTTGGCTTCGTCTGGGCTCCCGTTTGCTCTCCCGTCTGCTCTCCCAGGCTTCAGCCATGAAGCGGCGCTCCCAAGCGTTGATGGGCGTCGGGGTGCTTAAGCGTCGCTCCCAATTTGGGGCCTTCGATCTTCGACGAAAAAACGGTTGACGCTCCGCAATGTTTGCTGTTCCGATCCTGCTGAGATCCTGGATACCTCTCGACATGGAGGTGCCGGGTAGGAAAGCGCCGCTGTTGAGAGGAGATGTGGGTGATTATGGTGATTTGATATGATTTGATATTCTTGGTCGCTCCTTGGGGACGAAAGAATGGTTGCCTGACTGCACACTCCTGCATTGAGTACTGAGCTTGAGGCAAGAGTTCTCTGTGGCAAAGGCTTCTGATAACATGTTCTGGGAATGATATTCTTCCTGTTCTTCCGGACCAAGGCCATGACAGTGACAGTGCTTTTTCTGTTTGCATGCAGAATTAAGCTCAGGGTGGCCTCACTCGAGACACTACAAGGACTTTGGAGAAGAAGTCTAAGTCTCCTCTGTTTCCTCATACATTGATGAACCATGATGAAACTATGTCCCTTGCCCCCTGGCCTTTGTGAACGAGAACAGCTGCCCATGCATAGCTCCAGGTGGGAGCTCAAAGAACCGCACGCCCAGCATCCATTCGCGGCTGTCGTCCTTTTCGGGCGAGCAGCCACCTGCTGAGATTTTCGGTACGGACGTAAGACACACATATGAAGATGCCTTGAAGCTAGTTTTTTTGCAGATCGTCAGCATTACAAAAGCCCCACACATGTATCTCAGAAGTGATTGCTCAGAAACTGGCTTTACAGGTTCACATTTTCGCACCAACTCAAGAATCATATACATTTGGTTTTGAAGTCGGCTCTGAGGCGGGAAGTTCGTATGGGCAGGAAGTCCGTCGGCGCCAGGATGCCCAGTTTAGACCAGCCACATTGCAAAGCCAAAAATCACCAGACAACTCTAATTACTACCCGAAATGTCTTTGAATCACATACATTTTACAATTATATATATATACAGTACAATTAATGTCATACAGTATGTTTATAGATTTCCTTTAGCAGTTTTCAACCTTTGCAGGCTCACTGCAAATTCTCGCATATGGTGACACCAAGGCCGTGGTGGCCGCTGTGGAAGGGCACGCGGGTGAATCGCGCCCATCTTTCGTCGGAGGGCCCAGAGAAGCAGAATGCCATCAACCACCACAGAGATAATGTTGACAGTTGATTAATAACACCCCTGTACCAAGATTGTTCTACATCTCCATATTGCGTGTGTTTTAATTATTCATGAACAGTCAACATTAGGCTTGCTTGCTTTGGCCACAGTGTGGGTATTAAGAACATGTATGCAAGAGTAATGTTTTTGTTGAGAAAAGTATGAAGGACTGCTGGATGATTATATAGGTTGTAGATTATGGCGGTAGGGCAAAGCCGGCTAATGCCCCATTTGGCAAATTTGGTTTCGCTTATATACCCACCCACCTTCCGGTCTATTCCTTCTGGTAATTTGCCTCCACCCACATCCTGGAAAAGGCAGATACCTTTGGAAGAAGCAACATCAAAGGTACAAGCATTTGGCTTAGGAAGGTTGCTCAACTGTAAGCCACTACTGGTCGGTCATGAGTGCACGCTGCTTAGCAAGACACAGCCTCAACGTTTAGACTTGTTCCTCCAGTTTATGAGCACTGACGTCTCGTAAAGCAGGACTGACAGTGACGCATCGGACATATGGTACTGATGGAGACATTTATATATAATTGACATAGTATTAATCTAAGAATAAATAGAACACAAAATTGTCAAGGGTGCTTGCTGAATTCTCAAACTACTTGCATGTTCGAACAAACTTGGCAGGTGTCTGGATGTTGCGGCCGTCGGGAGGAGCCTGCCAGCCAGGGTCACCACAAGACCATATGTGAGGAATCCGTTTCAAATCAGGAATGTCAGTTGTCATTTGTTGTGGTTGTCATGACATGTGTATTTTTTTTTACTGTAGTTTTGATGCTTTCTTTTGCTGTTTGTGTTGCATGTGCTGCCATTGCTCCAGCAGACCTTTTAATGAAGCCACCTCACTCTAGGGTTTCTCTCTTTTCTGGAGCGTGGTCATGAATGATATGAAAGAACCTCGAACCTGTTAGCAAGAGACCATTCTGCAATCTTGGTGGGGCAGCAATGTCGATATTAAGAGAGCTTTCGTACTTATAACTTATAACTTATAACAGCAACATATTTTATATAACTTAGAATATAACTAGTAGATTAGCAAAGATTTATATACATTACTGGTGCTGCTGCTGCTGCTGCTGCTTCTGCTGCCCTGGGTGGGGTTTTGGTCGTGCTTGTGGCTGTGGCTGTAGTTGCTTGCGTTTGAAATTGGTGCACTTTTTCACTTCCTCCCATTGTTCTCTTTGATTCACGGCAACCGCCGTCATTTCCATCAAATGTCAGCTTTGCACCCAAATGGCGGAGGGCTGTCTTGCAGGGTGTAGCGACGTGGTGGATCCTTCGATTTCATCACAACAGCACCTTTTGATAGTATCAAAAGGTGCTATTGTGATAACAATACTATCACCATTGGAAAGGGTTTCCTTGTTTGGGTCGAGATTCCTGCAACGAGGGCGGGTCCAATAATTTTTTGGGAGGGCAGATTCAGGTATTCGGTATACTGCTTATGGATGGTGAATTCAGTGAATTCAAGGGAAGCGCGTGCCTAAACCTTGGAGAAGGCTGCAAAAGAGTGGTGCCCACTTCCCAACCATCGTGACTGAAACATTCGTCGAGCTAGTTCCGTATATCCGACAAGACCAAGGACCCAAAATGTACCAGTTCTGGATTATTATTGGTAAAAGCACTTGATAGGAGGCTGTTTCCCCAATCACTTTACTGTTGGGGTTCTCCCCAATCAGTTTACTGTTGGTGTTCTCAATGCTTTTAAGTGTGTCCGCATCAGTCTGGGCTAGTGTGTCCACCTTCTCGCAACTCGTTAGTAGCAAGTCCATGTAGACTTGTCTCCCAGGCTGGGTTGTCATACACAAGTTCTTTTTTCTTTTCTTTTTTCAAATCATGTCATAGTCTCTTTAAACAAGCTCTTCTTGCAAGGCCATAGTTCAGAAACACAACATGCTCTTTGGAGTTCCTGGGTCAATGCTGTGAACACAACAAGAATCCATTCATCAGATTGGTCGTTGGCAACAGGTTCTTTTGCGGGAGTTTGCCAGCTTCCAAACTTGCAACAAATGCATGCAGAACCCACAGTGCCAAAGTGTGCTTTAATTTTTTGCAGCATAAACGTCGCTTGGAAATGTCAAGCCCGGTGGATGCTAGGGTTTGCCTGCTCACGCGGCAGGTTGGAGACAACCCAAACCAAACTTACCTTGGAGAAAGTGTGCATAGGTAACATCAGGCCTTAGACACCAACCCTTCCGTCTTGCTGATGTATTAAATCTTGATGTTGCACCCAAACACGAGGGGCGGATTTGTTTTTTTTCGTCGGAGTCGGATTTGAAACCCTTTTGTAATTGTAGTAGTAGTAGTAGTAGTAGTAGTAGTAGTAGTAGTAGTAGTAGTAGT